GACCATAAGGTAAAGACATCTTGTTACAGAATCAGTTTGCATATTAGGCCAAATATGAGATATTATTTTCCAAAGATTCAAAGTAAATAGGATAGTTCTAAATACAATGGAACAATTATGAAACTGATCAGAAACCATGAAACTGGTTCATCAAGAAATTCTCAGGAGATTTAAAGAAATCCCTAAGCTCCTTGGTATTTAGTTCAAAGCATGCCAAAGGCCCACGGCTGAAGAATATTTAACACAAGGAAGCTATTCTTTCAGGTAAAATTTCAGACATCTTTAAAAGGCATTTATCTGGTTGGTGAGATGACCGAAGGTGATGGCCTGCCCTGGGATGCAAATGATGAGAGGAGATAACTGACTCCCAAAAGCTATCCTCTGATCTTCACAGGTCATGAGAATGGCACGTGCTCACGCACATACCCACACACACTAGGTACATACATACATACGGCTCTGATCTGACTCCAGTTATACGGCCTAAAATTAAAGTGTAATTATGAAGTGACATGTCAAATTAGGCAAAAGGCACTCTGCCTCTTGTTTCCTGACGGTAGCCACTAATATCTGCCTGTTGGTTATCGTCTGTATATGTTGTATATGTTTTTATGCATTCACACAAATCAGATGTTTTTGAAGTTTGGATAAATAGGTTCTTCTGTGAAGGTTCTACTGTAACCAGAGTTTCAAGTGAAAAGCCAGGATCTGGCAGTCCCAGCTGACTGGGCAGGACCACCTGTGTGAATAAACCAATCAAAGAAAGAAGTGATGGTGAAAAGCAGAGAACAGAGAGCAATTCAAATGGCCACATTAGGAAGACGGGGCCACATCAGTGATGGGGCTGGAGAGACGGCTCAGAGGAAGAACACTTGCTGCCCGTTCAGCGGACCAGGGTTTGATTCCCAGTATACTCACATGGTGGCACACAAGTGTCTGTAACTCTGGTTTGGGGGACACTAAAGACAGTGATGAGAACTTAGACTTAAAACCCAAGAAAAAGGCAGCTGAGAAAATGATAAGCAAAACTGATAAAGGACAGGAAAAGTGAACTTTAGCAACGGACAGAGCTAACTCAGAAATGTCTGAGAAAGACAGAGAAATCCTAAGAGCATTCCCACTCTAATGTTGATGATACTGGGGACGGTCCGTTCATAGGTCTGAAGTGCACCAGCAAGAGCGTAACAAATGATGCAGGAGACTGATGGAGACGAAGAGGTGAGCAAGCAAGAGTCCCTGAGCCTCATGAAAAAAACCAGCCTCGCGCTCGTGACTAGGTTTAGTGTCTGTGAGATCTGGCTTCTGAGAACACAATCCACTTCAGCTACAATATCAATCCCTTTAGACATTGTGGAAGTTCTCTTTGATGTTACCACTGTTTGTAAGTCACCTACTAATTACTTTAATTCTAGAAAGCTGAGCAAGAGTGCATCAGCATGGACAGGGAACTCTTTTGTTGTTGTTGTTGCTTGATTTGGTTTTGGTTTTTCAAGACAGTTTTTCTTTGTGTAGCTCTGGCTGTCCTGGAACTCTCTGTAGATCAGATTGGCCTCTGCCTCCTGAACGTTGGGATTAAAGGCATGTGCCCCCATCGCTACCACCCCAGGCAGAAGAGGTCTTAAAGTCTACCAGTGACATTGCCTTACATCATATTTGTCATATATTTTCACATAAGTGCAGGCACAAAATGATTGATTGATTGATTGATTGATTGATTGATTTACTTACTTACGTACTTACTTATGTGGGGTGGTAGAGGGGGAGGGTGAAGGCCAAAGAACAACTTGTAAGACCTGGTTCTTTGCTTCCACCATGTTGGAATAAGGACTCAAACTCAGGTTGTCAGGCTTAGTGGCAAGTACCTGTTGAGCCACTTTGGTTTTTCTTCAATAGTTCCTGCTTTTAGTTGATACCTGAGTAGTTTTTGTTGTTGTTTTTAATACAGTATTCTGCCTGCATGTGTGCCTGCATGCCAGAAGAGGGAATCAGATCTCAGTATAGATGGTTATGAGCCACCATGTGGTTGCTGGGAATTGAGCTCAGGACCTTTGGAAGAACAGCCAGTGCTCTTAACCTCTAAGCCATCTTTCCAGGCCCCACTGAGAGGTTTGTTTGTTTTTTAAATTATTACTATAATTATTATTTGGGTGTGTGTTGTCTGTGTGCTTATGTTCCTGCAGAGGTCAAAGGTCAACACGGGGTAGTGTTCATTTTTTGAAACAGGGTCTCTCAATAGGGCTGGGGCCTATCAGCTAGGCTAGGATGGCTGGTTAGCAAACCCCAGGAATTCACCTCTCTTGATCTCTCAGCACCAGGATTACAAGGGTGTTCGGTGTTTTAACGACTTCTGGAGTTCAAACTTAGAGCCACGTGCTTGCATGATAAACGCTTTACTAACTGAGCCATTTTTCCAGCTCAGTTTTTCTCTTATAAAACCCAACAGGGGCAAGGGAAATGACCCAGTTGGTAAACCACTTGCTATGTACTCCTGAGAGCCTCAGTCTGGATCCCCAGGACTCATGCAAAAAGCTGGCGTGAGGCACACACATCTGTAGTTCCCGTGGTGGAGAAGGAAAGAGACAGGTGGATGGCTGAAGCTCACTGGCTAGTTAGTCTAGCTACATAAAATGAGCTCCAGGGTTGAGAGGCCTTGTTTTAAAACTCAATGATGTAGAGATTGGCTGAGAAAGACAGTCAACATTGACCTCTGCTTTCCACATTCATGCAGATATACGCACATGTGTCCCCACACATGTACCAATATACACTGATAAGACATGTACTATATACCATTCACACTCGTTTTTTAATGAACACATACTGAAATTTGGCTATTTAGTAATGCTAACTGTTTTTGTCTTAAAGCCTTTCTTACTTATTAGAAAGAGAGAGAGAAAAATAAACAAGGAAAACTGAAGTCCAGATTCACTTATAAACAGTGACAAACCTAACAAAACAACAACAGACAGAATTCAGCCGTGTTTTGGATAGCCAACCTAGGTCTGTTCCAGGAATTAAGAGTGGTTTTTAAAAATAGGGCTGGGAATGTGGCCCACTTGCCTCATGTGTGGGAGGCCCTAGGTTTAATCCCTAGCATCACAAACACACAGATACTCCACAACTAATGTAATTCACTACATTAATTAATAGGGAAAAAGAAAATCACACAAATCTCAAAATAGAAAAATCTGATAAAATTCCACATCTGTTCATCACTAAAATCAAGCACTCTTTGGAAAGAGAAATAAAAGGGAAGCTGATTAACCTGATTAAATCTATGAAACCAAGCCCATCTCTGCTATATGACAGCTGTAAGCATTCTCTTTGCGATTACCATAAAACAAGAATGCTTATTACACCCTTTCTATTCAGTATTGTATGGGGTATTGTATCACAGTAAGACCCTTTGCTCCCCAAAAAGTACAATTAATTTCTGAAAGTCTAAAAAGTGAAAAGAAACAAAGCCACCATTATTTGTAGGTTATAAAAATATTTATAAAAATTTTTTTTAAAAAGTGAATACAAATTATTAGAAGCAAGGAGCATGTTAAGAAAGCTAAGTACACATTACTCTAAAATACAAAAGCCATCAATATTTCCATACCTTACAACCAACTGATAAAAATAATTAAGAATAGAACCCATTGGCATGGTAAGATATTTCCCAAATTCATAGGAATTATACACTTAGAGCAGGGGCATTTTATGAAATACAAAATATTGTCTTGAGACTTTCATAGGAAAAAAGACACTATTTGTAACTGCAACAAAATATATGGATTCCACAGGAGTCAATTAATCAAGTGTTACACTCCAGTCCCAATACTAGGAAGACTAAAGCTAGCCTGGGCTAAGAGACAGCTTAAGGTCAGGCTGGGCTAAATAGTGAGATATTGTCTCAAACACCAGAACAAAACAAAACAAAATGCCCCCAAAAACTCAACAAAGAAACGAATCTAACAAATATAACACCGCTTCTAAGTCAAAACTGTAAGCTTTACTTAAAGGCATAAAAAGACATTTAAGTGAATGCCAAGAAATCATCATGTTTGTGAAACAGAAAATTTACTATTATAAAAATGTCAGTTCTCTCCAATTTGATCCTTGGGCTCAATAAATCAGTAAAAATCTGAACAAAGTTCCATGAAGAATCCAATAAGCTGATTCCAAAATTTGTAAGAAACAAGGACAAGAATAGAGACGACACTCCTAAAAAATATTACTAAGTCTCTATGGTAACTGAGATAGGGGGATTTTTGGCAAAGCCCAAAGAACAGGATAAAGTCCCAGAAACCAGCCTGTGTACGCTTGGAAACAACTTTTTTCTTACATGCAGTAGCAGAGGTTGAACCCAGAGTCTGTGCATTATGTGAGCACAGTACTACATCTCTGGAATTTTAATTTTGATGACACTACCAATAATAGGTCAGGAGGGAAATAAGTGAATTATTAACCTCCCATCCCCCACAAAAAATAAATTTGGAAGCAAGTTATTGTTCAAATGCAGACTGTTGAGTGTGTGTGTGTGTGTGTGTGTGTGTGTGTGTGTCTGTGCATGTGTCTGATTCGACATCATACCACACAACAAAAATCCACTTCATACGAACTGAAGACACAGCTTCACAACTCAAACAGACACGAGCATACTAAAGCATAATCATGAGCTGCTGCACTGGGTGGCCTTTTTGTTGTTTTGTGCCCTTAGATTTGAACCGATAAAGCTCTGTAGACATTCATTCCCATGCCACGTGAATATCTAGGTTACGTCCCTGTGGGTTTCATGGCCACAGAGAAGAAACAGCGGCCACAGTGAAGTTTGAGAAGGACACACACAGTGCCAGACAGCCCCACTCAACACCACCATAATCACGCTCTGCCGTGCTCGTGTTTCTGGAGGCTGCTGTGCCATCTTGACGGAGGAGCGCAGAGAATACGGATTCTTACGGCGGTCTAAAGAGCTCAGCGCTGACATCAGCACAGCCGCGCAGGCGCATACTTACACTATATGGGCAAGGTCAAGTGGTTTCTCTGGCTGCTCGGGAAAGACGGGATGTGGGGGTTCTCTGGAGGGTACGCATCCCAAAGATTTACTAATTGCATGGCTCAGCTTCTTTGCAGGGGATTTCTGTGTCAAAGGAGAAAATGAGGAAATGAGACTTTTCAGAAGAATCAGTGACAAGAGCGTAGGAAACACTTTTCAAGCGCAGGGCAGACTTCACTGCGGTCAGTGTCCCGGGGCCTTGTGAGAGGAGCCAGCAGTGCTTGCGATGCTCCTGCGGCCTTTCCATTCCTACGGCTCTTCCCGTCCTTCCACCAGAAAGTCAAGTTCCGGGGCTAAAGAGAGTGTTCAACTTCCTCTGGATATCTCTACGTATTGTGAATTCCCTTTTTATGAGGTTTCTGGGTCATTTCTGGTTAAGATATTAGGTGATTCCCTCCCAGGGGAAATTTTTGAATGGGTACAATATAAAAAGGCTAGGAAAATGCAAAGAACACATACAACTGTGCATGCTAGCAAATCAACTGCCTAAAATATACCCCTAAATGCTAGAATGTTTCCAAGTCAGACCAGGTACTGTGGTACAAAAGCCTGTAATCCCTGCATTCAGGAGGCGGTGGCAGCAGGATCAAGAGTTTAAGGCCACTGATAGCTATCCAGCAAACTTGATGCCATCCTGGGCTACATAAGTTTCTACCATGAAACAAGAGAAAAGTGAGACAGAACATTTGGCATCAAGGGTCTGTATGTGCAAATGGATTTAAATAAGTATAAGCCCGTATATAAGCAGCCAACACAGACCTGTCACTATAAATGATGATGTACAAGGCACCAAAAGAAGTTAGGGTTCTAACAATTTCCCTGGAAAGCAGAAACACCAATTCTCAAGACTGTTCTTTAAAATAGCAAATGTGCACAACCTGAATAAAATCCTACAGTTATATCGAACAGAACATTCCATTCCCTATTTACCCCACCTCTTGCTTTTTTTTTTTTTTTTTTTTTTAAGTTGGCAAGTAAACCTAGGTCTCATCCTTCTGAGCGATATACACCTACGGCCTCTGAAAATTCCCAGAGTCTCTTTACATACACTGCATGCTGTCCATCCAATTCCTGTTAAATAACACTGCTGTCTGAGATTTTGCCAGGATATTAATGAAAAAGTAAGTTTGAGTACTTCAGTCTGCTGTCTATATAACTTATTATCAAATGTGACACTTCGGCTAGAGCGCATGGCCTGTGTGCAGCCACACGCCTCATCAATACTGCATTCCCTCTCATTATTTATTAGGCAGTATCCCACTGTGGAGCTCAGATTGGCCTTCAGCTTGCAATCTTGCTTCTGCAGCCTCAGATCTCGGGCTTACAGGTATTTACCGCCATTAAACATTTATATCCTGCTTGCTGCAGTATTCTAACACCACATAAGCACAAATCTGTTTTCCCTTAAGACCATATAGGCAAAGTCAATGTTTGATTGTAATAAAGATGAAGTAACAGCAGTATCTTCAGAAACTCTGTATTTTTGATATCTCAGCAATCACGGACCCTTCAATCCATTTTATTCTGAAAAAAAAAAAAAAGTCTACATCTAATCTAGTTTCTCCATATTGCACACGGCAAAACATATAACATTCTGAGCTCTCCCCCAACTGCTCTCTGCTTCTTTCCCTTTGCCCAACAAGTAGCTATGATGTGATTCAGACCTTCCCCTCTAACCCATCTCTGATCGTAGACTCTCGCAAGCTGATAATCCATACACACTAAGAGTTAAAGAAGCCAGGTGGCGGCACGTGACTTCAATCCCAGGGTTGGAGTTAGGCAGCTGGGCCTCTGTGAGTTCAAGGCCAGCCTGCTCTATAATGTGAGTCCAAGACAGCCAAGGCTACACAGTGAAACTGTGTCTTGAAAAACAAAAATAAAAAGAAGAAACACTGTCATGTTCCACAAGAATACATGCATCCCCAACTTGTCTCTCTTACCTACTTCCAAGGAGCACACTGCTGCGTATCACGTTCCTTAGGTTTAAAGACCTGGGAATATGCCTTTTCCAAGCCTATCCTTCCCCACCAGTCTTATATAAGTTCCCTAAGCCTCTGGAGTATCTCTCTTCTGTGAAGGTTTTCTCACCAGTCCATTGGCCAGTGACGTTTCTCTAGGCTACTCATGGCCTCGTGCATATGCCCACCGTCACCCTGACCATGCTTCAGTGTTTAATTCCTTTTCCATCCTTGTTAGACTCTTGCTTCTTAAGGGACCAGCTATGTCTTATCCATCTTTGCATTTACAGAGCCTATTCTTAGAACAGAACATGTGACTTGAACATAATTTTCTAGCTTTATTTTCAGCTTTTTGTGTATGCATGAATTACAAGTGGGAGACAACCAACGAAAATTAAAAAGAAAATAGTAGCTGAATTCACCTTTACAACTAATCTGTAGAATTTCTTGATTTGTTGTTATACCAAAGAGCCACCTGGGCCATTAATTTATACAGTCTATATGGAACAGATTTACTTTAGCACCATCCTGAACACTAAGAGCCATGAAATCACAGGGTTAATAAACATTAAAATAAGCACACGACTACTAAAGTAAGTGTTTGCATTTGTAAACCTTAATAATCTTAGCAATATTTTGCGGTATTTGTGAAAATACTGCTTTAAGTCAGGGCTTAAAAACTATATCCAGTTTTGTGCAGGCCAGATAAAGGTACCTGTCACAAGCCTGATAACTTGTGTTGGATACCTAGAAGCCACATGGTAGAGGAGAGAACATGGTTGTTTAACCTCCACATACATGCTGCAACCTATGCATGACACCCCCCCAGCACAAACAAATAAATCCTAATAATAAAAAAATACCATCCAATTTCAAGCCTCAAAAAAACAGGCATAGGGCTAGAAATATAGCTCAGTCATCAGAAGGCTTGTTTTTCATGCACAAAGCCCTGGTTTGATCCCTAGTCCCACATAAACCAGATACGGTGGTATTCCTGTAATCCCAGCACTCAGAAGGTATGAGGAGGATTAGAAGTTCAAGGTCATCCTTGGTTACATATCAAGTTCAAGAGGGTATAAAATGTGGACCATACTTTCGAAAGCTATAAAGCTGTAAGTGTCATCATGTCCATCTATGCAGTATCCTGCCTAAGAAACAACATGACAGTCACTCTGAGGCTTCTTGTAGGCCTTCCCTTGAACCCCACCACCACCACCTCCTTTTCTCCTGGTAGGCACTTACATGGATTTTGTATTAATAATTTCCTTAGCTTTATGACTTCTGTAATTGTGTAAAATAATACACTGTTCAGGAATGTTTAAAACCTACAGAGGCTAAATGTACATGTATACATGACCAGCAGCTTACTTTTTCACTCAAAATTGTTATTATTTATCTATATGAGCATACATAATTGCAATTTACATATTTTCTTCACTTCCTGGTGGAACTTTCCTGCTTAGTTCACTATAAGTTAGATATTCACTCCACTGCTGATGAACACTTGGTTTGTGTCCATTTGGTCCTGTCATTCATACTGTTGCTACTAAGTTTTCTAGCACATGATACTTGGTGGCCACATGTAAGAATGTCATAAGATTTGGACTGTTGGCTTGCATGGCTGTGTATATTTCAATTTTGGTAACTACTCCAACTCATTTGCTCTACAAAGTGATTACACTAATTTCCCATCAGCTGCATGGGAGAGCTCCTGAAACTCTGCACTCTCTCCAACTCTTGTTACTGCCAGACACTTTAACATTTGCTGGGCCCGTGGGTAATAATAAATGGTACTGTGATTTCAACTTGTGATTTCCTCACAACTGAAAGTCATCTTAGCAGACTAGAAACTGGCGGGGATTATCTTTCTCTTACTGCCTTGAATTTCTTTGACACATGCAGCCCAGGCTATTCTCAAACTTGTTATGTGGCTGAGGGTGGCTCTGAACACGAGGTCCTACTGCCGCCAGAATTCTAGATCCCTGCTACCCAGCCTAGCTTTCTTACTGGTTTGTAACAATTTTATTTTTGTATTTTAAACTCAAGAAAGTTATATTGTATAACTTCTCCGTTAGGTTTCTCACTATTATATTTTTAATGAACAGCTACCTTTAATTAAATAACTACTACTTTCCAAATTAAATAACTTTCTTCCTATTTTATGCCTCTTCTATGTTTAAAAAAAATTCCCTCTGAGGTCATAAGGGTATCCCGCCACATAGTTCTATGAAATCTGATCATTTAGAGCAGGTGCAGTGAAAATGTAAGCGTGATAACGTGAATTTGATCCCAGAAAATTGTTCTCTGATTTCCATGTGCATACCACCCCCGGAACTGTACACTGAAGTTTTGTCATTTATAGATTTCATATTTAAGTCTGAATATATTTAGCTAGGATTCTTTTTAAAAGTTGATACAATATATATTTCTATGTGTGTGTGTGTAAATATATATCTCCCAGGTTAGTCTCAAATTCATTGTCCTCTTGCCTCCCCAGCACAGCACTCATAAATTTTGATAGATAAGAGAAAAAAAAACATTTTTTCCCTATTTGAATAATCAATTGTATAAGGTCACCCAACAGGCATTCCATCCTGGGCAATACAACATCAGTCTAGTTGCTGCGACTTCTCACCCACTCAGCGACAGCAGAGTCTGTGAGCAGTATTTTCTTCCTTTTTTTTGAGACAGGGTCTCACATGACTCTGGCTGTCCTGGGAATTCACTCCGTAGACCACGACTGGCTTCTAACTCACAGAGATCTGCCTGCCTCTGTCTCCTGAGTGCTGGGATTTAAGGTTCGAGCCACCATGCCTGGCATCATTTCTCTGAATTTTTGGATAAATGTGCCATTTATACATACTCCCCACATACACAGCCTGTGGAAATTTCAGTGGGAGCTGACCAAATCCATCGATAAACTTACAGAGAACTGGCATCCTTACACACAGAACAATCCTCTCCATGAATGTTTTTATCTTCTTGTCTGCCTGAGCCACCTTTAACATCTTTCTACAGTACTAAACGCCCATCTGTCAAGGACCCGTGTATTCTTGTTATTTATTTCTAGCTATTTTCTGTAAAGCTTTGTGCATAGCAATTCTGCATTTTAAATGTGGCTTAAAA